CTCCTTGGACTGTAACGCTGATCTCCTTCTCGATTAAGAATACCCTTAGGTTATTTCTCACCCCATCGTAGGTCCTCCTCAGCTTCTTCCAAACATCCTGCACCCTCCCAAGGTCATCCACTGTGGCAGCAATTGGCTGGATTACAGAATTCAGAAGCCAAATGTATACCAACATATGAGTGAACTTCCACTCATCTCTCCCTGCGGAGCCCTCAGCCGGCTCAGTCTTCTCCCCCATCAGATATCCCTTCAGGCTCCTCCCGATAAGAGTATATTTCACCCGACACGACCAACTCAGATATATCGCGAGTCCATCAAGCTTTACATCGATAGGTGGAAGCTCCACCTTCTTGGGTGGTGGTTTTTTCGAGCCCTCTCCTGCCGACAACCTCATCAGTTGTATCAGTGTTGAGATCTCCTCAGGATTCAACTTCTTGATGATCTCTTCCATCGAATTTCTGCCAGTCTCCGCTATCGATCCAACTTGTATTCGGTTCCCTCACACCGATCTCACAAAGGGCAACAGAGAAAACAAAAAAAAGACAGCGGAACCAAACTACTTAATCATCTAATAAAGATCCCTTTTTTTCTTTTTTTATCTGATCGGCAACAATCCAACCCTAGCTCTCGATGACCATCTTCCTCTTCCCCCAAAATCCCCAAATCTCAATAACACAACACTCCTTTTTAAGCGAAGATAACATTTTTTTTCAAGAAAATAAAACCCTAAACGACCCAAACCAAGAGATCAAGATACCTGGTTCCTCAAAACCTGAGCTTGGTAAAGAACCACCGGTTCTTCCCAGTCTTGAACAAGATCAAGATACCTGGTTCCTCAAAACCTGAGCTTGGTAAAGAACCACCGGTTCTTCCCAGTCTTGAACATCTCCTCAAACCTCTGCTTCGCCTCCTTGCACGCCTCCACCTTCTGGAAACCCTAGCTCTCGATGACGATGATCAGCCTTCGAAAGGCCAACACTCGCCTCCCCCCGGAGGTCAACCAGGTCCTCAACGTCCGCAACCTCCACTTCAACATCTCGAGCGAGGAGATGTACGACATCTTCAGCAAGTACAGCGTGATCCGCAAGATCCGCATCGGGACCAACAAGGACACCGCCTTCGTCGTCTACGAGGACATCTACGACGCCAAGACCACCGTCGACCACCTCTCGGGGTTCAACGTGGCGAACAGGTACCTGATCGTGCTCTACTATCAGCAGGCAATCGCGCTCTGGTACTAGCATGTGATGGTGAGCAAGTTCGACGCGAAGAAGGAGGAGGATCGAGGCTTCGTCGGGTTAAAGAGGGAGACGGCTAGGTTTACAGCTCTGATACCATGTAGAAAGAATAGGGCTTCTAAGTCTAATTTCATTGATAGAATTGCTTGGTTTATATAGCCTTACACACACATTTACACAAAACCCCTCTAAAACTCTTTAATTACATTACATTCTCAACAGATATCTTTCCTATTGTAATGCAAATTCCTATCTATGACCTAGTGCTCTCAAAGGCACAGGCCGCAATTTATGATGAAGTGAAGATAAGAACCACACGATTACAACAACTCCATCAACTTTCATATGTAAAAGAAAAACTATGTTTTCTTGGAGATATCGGTATAATAGTTACGTTAAACTAACTATTGCATTTTATTTTAGAAAAACTACCCAAATAAAAATAAAATTTCATCAATTCACACACTATCACACAAATTTATTTTATATATGACAATGCTCATTCACATTCCTAAAGCCTATGATGTGCAGGACACTTAACTGATGATAATTGGTATCCCACAAGGGGTGCAAATTAGATGATTATGCACTCAGCCTAAGCCGGAGCAGACCGCAACATATAAAGGTTTAGACAGTTCCATTTAGATCGAAGCAGTGACAAAAAAATTTAAAAATTAAAACTCATTAAATTTGGTTCAGGTATGGACAATACCTTTGTAAAAACCTGACCACGATGTGATCCATCAGAGTTTAACCTAACTTAGACCCCAGTCCATTAAACCCCTGATGTAAGGTGTAATTCAATAGAGATAACTATTTTAGTTATTCAGCATGATGAACAGCTGGAACTGTTTTGATTTCTAATACATAAGATGTAAATCGTCCACACAAATCATGCTCCAGCACAGCTCCTCCTTCTTTCCAGAGCATAAGCTTTTGCTCGTTAACCCTCCCTCCTCTAACTTGAGAATAACTGGATCTTTTATCTTCTCTTTTCTCTCATACAGATTTAACTCTCTCTTTGCTAGACCAAATATGATGCCTTATCTCTTCTTTAGCCAAAAACAGGCATGTGGTTGTTTATCTTCCAATTCAGAAAATGTAACATGTAGGGAATTCATATTCCTTAGACTTGAATTATTTGAATTATTCAAGTTATATGTTTCTCTTAGAATTTCTTAAGAATTAAAGTATTTCTTTTAAGTTTAATTACAATCTGTATTAGCTCCACAATTCCGATTTCCAAACCACATGGAAAAACCAACATTTCCATGTGGTTTGGGTAGGGGTCTTGAATTCCAAAAACAATGACTTGTGCCTAGGGGTGCACACTGTTCAGATATACCTCAGACATGATGCTTATCGGTGCACACTGTTCAGATATAGCTCATACACTGTTCAGATATAGCTCAGACATGATGCTTATTGGTGCACACTGTTCAGATATAGATCAGACATGATGTTTATAATATCTGTATCCGCTTACCAATCACAGATGCAGATACGAATATGCCTCACCAAGAAAAACTCATATCCGTATCTGCTAAAGTGGATATGCCTACATATACGCATGTGGATCTATAAGCAGATACAAAATGGATATGAGAAAACCAAATAATATCGGAAAAATATATTGTGCGTAGCGAAAATTTTGACAAAGTTTCTGGTGCATAATAAGAGAGGAAGATCTCAATAAGAATTTCCGTCTCACGAAGGAAACAAGAATCTGAAGCGAATATCTCAACAAAGTAAGATATCGGCTCTTCCTCTCATCAGTTCTAGGACTGATTTGTCGAGGGATCCTAAAAACTATTACAATGACTACAAACACAAAACAAACGATTTTACATGGTTCGACAAACTACCTACGTCCACGGGGCAAGGAGGAGGATCTACTATTAGAGGGAGAGATACAACTAGGGTTTACAATCTCACAATCTAAACCCTCTCACAAACTCTCAAATCCCTCACACAAAATCTCTCTCAAAAGGGAATGATCAAACTCTAAAAATGACTGCACAAAACTCTAAAAGAATCTCTGCTGTTCTTTGCCCTGCACATTGTTTTTCTCTGCTTTTGATCGCTGCCTTTTTCCCAGCCTCTGCACCATCTTGCACACGTCTGCTCTTGCGTCCACTTCAGCCCAAGCCTGCACGAAGCCAAGAGACAGCCGCAAATCCCCTCTGCACTTGCAAACCGTCCTTTTGCACCCTATGCTCACAAACCCTCCTTTTGCCCAACGAACAAAAAACCCTAGCTTGGGTATATATAGGGTGATGTACAATATTGGGTGGGCCTCTCAAAAGATCCAGCGGACCTCTCTTTTGTCCGCTCTCTTCAAAATATAGTTCATATGATACAAAAGAGCTCATTAATGTGTTCACTATACCAGAAAAAATAAGATTAGATCTCTTGATCATCAAAATTAGTCTCAAATCCACTAATTGAATTCTTATTTCAGTCCAAAATACTTCAAAATTATGAATAAATCCAAAAGACAGAAGAGTTAAGGTTACCATCTCTTAATTGATTTGCATGTGAATGTGAATGTGAATGTGCGTGCCAAAATCTAGTGCCTTCTAACTAGCTATTTTATTTTGTAACTGACTGACATAATATGCAATTTTCCTAAATAAAGATGATAGTAAACTCAGATGTCATATTCTTGTACCAGCATCCGTACTCGTATCCATGTAGGTTAGTAGCCTCTATTAGTCCATGTCATGTTACATAAAGTTTACCATTTGAGACCTTTGGCCTAGCATTTCAGTGTAGTAGACATCAATAATGCTAATTTCATAAATATACATCTATGGAATGGTCATTTGATACATAACCATCGACATTGTCTTCTTCACATATCCCATAAAAATTTATATTGCATGCATACCATGTATTGTACCTTTGCAGCCCTTAGAAATTGTAAACTAACATTATATGCAACTTCACTTCAACAGTGTTCGCACATGCCTAAAAATGTAGTAATTAGCAAATGAAACTGAAACAAGACAATTTACATGTTACTGAACAGGGTTTGGGTTGGGAGAACTTCTTCTAGTTAGCTTTTGGGTTATGACTGAGCTTATCTATGACCTTAAAGAAAGAGGTAATACCAAGCTGACATGCCTGCATAAAGATAACGATCAGACAGCACTCTTAGTAAAGGAGCAAAATTCTGAACTATACAAATGCTGGTAACTTACTAGCGAAACATGAAGTTGTGCTATATACAAGCCAGTTCATGTTTGGTACAGATAAACACCCACTCTTCTTGAACATTGAGACACGTTAAGTGCACTTCTCAAACTTATCAAACATTTTACAATGCTTTTCAGTTTCAAATACTCATAAGTTACATTTTTTTAAGCTTCCCAAGTACTTCAAGACATGTTTAGACAGGCAGTTACTTCCATTTCCGGAGAAAATTTGTAAAGAAGGAACATCAAGTCTGCAAACTATTTTTATATAGAACTAAATTTCAACATGAGAAGTGAGATAACAACAAATTAATGTTATATTGTCCTCTAATTAGAACTTCTTGTTCATGAATATTTATACATCTGCATATATATGGATGTATGTCCTTGTCGTTATTATGCATTTTCAAGAACTAAACTGTTGCCAGGCAATATCCATGTCAACTTCATGTCCATGCAAACATTATCTTCATGAAAATAATAATGATTAAACTAATCGATGTTAAGGGAAAAATGACCGTAACACATGATTAGCTTTCTTTGCTGAAAATGTTGTAGATGCAACCTGGTATTTGTCGATGGTGTTAATCTCCACGGAAGCATCAAGCAGATGTCGAATGAGATTAGTCTGTGAATTGTAAGGGGTAATAATCCCAATTTCATCATGAGGGATATCTCTCTTCACTAACTCTCTGGTGATCTGAAGATATATTTGGAAAAATATTTCAGATTTCGAATCTTAGACAAGTTCACTAAAATTCACAAATGTAAAGAAACTTGAACCTTACATAAAAGTGGAAAGGGGAATTTATGTAATTAAAAAATTATTCATGAAAAAACTGTATAATCATGAACATATATACTCCAAAAGGTCATACCTCTGAGACAATATAAGCTTCTTTTGGATTGTTTACAGTTTTTAGCTCCTTCACCTCTAATGCAGGCAACTGATCTGCAAGATTGACCTGTATTGATAAAAATTACAGGTTTATCTGGATTTAAAACCTGCACATTTTAGAAAAGAACACCTTCTGTTAAAATGACTGCTGTACAGATAAAACATTGCAACCCAATCCAAAAAAGAATCCCTCACGAAAAAATCCCAAATTCTAATTTGTTCTCCATCATTTGTACAATTTCAATATTTGTGTCTTTTTTTTCTTTTTTTAATCCAAATAAGTCTCCTCGACAGATCTCCACACTCCACTCCATATCATTTGGAATTAGAGCCAAAGAGATCCACCGATTTCAGCTTTGACATTAGCAATGCACTTATTTGCGCAAGTTTTTTGAAGATGGGGAGACTTGACGGAGGACAAATTAGAATTTGGGATTTTTTTTCTAATTTGATTTTTCTTTAGTTGAGATATTTGGTTAGCATGACATTGTATTTAGAAACTGAATTATTTTTCCACGAAAAAAAGATATTGAATTATTTTGTTAGGGTGTTCTGTTTGATGTTATCTATTAGTTAGGACTAGGATTTTGTTTTATTCCTATAAAAAGATATGTTTTTTAAAAATTTTAGGAGGAGAGAAGAATGTTTGTTAGAAACTCTTCATCTGAATTGCAGCTAGTTTTAGGTTTGTGAGTTGCCGACATGTGAGGTGCTTAAATGTGAAGCCCATCATATTTTTTATTTATTAAGTGAGAAATTCAATTTCAATATTTATGTCCTTTTTTCTTTTTTTCTTTTTTCTTTTTTCTTTTTTCTTTTTTCTTTTTTTCTTTTTTAATCCAAACAAGTCTCCTTAACAGCTCTCCAATGTCCATTCCACGTTACTTATTCACAAGCATACTGTCGCAAAATAATCATTGACATTCGCTGATAACTTTTATTCACATGATAACAACCAAAGTCTATTCAAATGATAGACAATGACGAATGTCGAGATGGAATGAATTCTATTCAATGAACTTGATCCATTTTCCAAGAACAAGGGACTATGATGCATCATACTAATTGAAGCACAACATTGCAAAATGGAGTTTTAGGGAAGGAACAAAACAGGTCTAGAGAGCATGATATAGTCTCTCAAATGTTGATTCGTCAAAGATTTTTGGGCATCATAGTCTTAGTACAAGTTGATATTAGGTGAATCTGATCCATACAAAAATTAGTTCTAGCAGAAGAGATATAATTTGGTATTCTTACTAGTTATTTCCACTTGATGGTATTTCATTTCATTGCCCTTCTTTTCCTGTTAATTGTAAGGTTATGCTCAACCAAAAGAAAGTCATTTCATGTTTATGTAGTCAATGTGAAGGGCTACAAATTATGTCTCGCTTGCGAGGCACTTACATTTGTTATTTGCAGTATTTATACTTTGCATTAAATGACATACTTCACCTGAGTAGACGGTATACAGCAAATACAACAGCCTAAAACATGAAGCTAGAAAGAAGGTGGATTGAGGAGTATTGATTCAGAGGAACACGTAAATGCACTCAACCAGTTGACAATGCCAAAGGTATAACCTAGAAGCTAATTCACCTCCACTGGAAATAAAGTTCACTTGCCTAATCCCTGAGTTTGATAGTCTATTTATATTCTAAAACCTTTGACCCACAAGGAGATTATAAGTTGCATTGAGCAGTAGATCCCTTCAACTAAAGAATCACTTACAATCAAACATGAGACTCGTTGAAACCACAATCATGCTGAATATTGTTTATTAGTTGAAAGTGGGTCTCAAGAATAAAAGGGACTCCAAAGTTTAGATACCAAGACATAAAGCATGTCAGAGAGTCAAGAATATATACTGTGAAACAAACCAAGGTTACCTGTTTTAACCATAATGAACTAGATGCTGCATCGGAGAACTTCAGCTTGGCATTTGCTATAGCAGAAGAGCCGCAATGTAATCTGTTTCCATAAATTAGCGTATTTGAAAGTTCCATTATAGCAGAGCACATGCGGTACTGAAAGAAAACATTTCAAATATCACAAATCATGCCGATAATTATTTGAAAGATATATGATAATAGTATATTTTGAGGCAAACAAATCAATCATATAAATCAGAGAACTTGGCATTGCAAAGCTGAAATGGCCTGGGGATGAGCTTCTGATAGTCTGCAAAACAAGCTAATGGACATTCCATTCTCCCGAGCCTCTACACTCTAGCAAAATAGAAAACCATCCTCTCAAACTTGAACAAGTGAGTAAGTGCAATATACTTAGAAGTATAAATAAAAGTGACAGACCTGAACCAGTGGAGGAAGTTGGTAGTGATCTCCAACAAGAACGAATGTTGAAGCAAGCATTAGAGGTCCTAATGCCACCTGGGAGAAAGAGCAATTCGGAAGAATGTTATGAACAGAAAAGAATAATGTGATATAAAACAATATCATGAGAAGTTTGATTATTTCCATCTTATTTTTCCACATTTGAGTGACCCTGTTTTGTTGGGGGAAGTAGGAGCTGCTCTGCTATTCATACTGCATGCAGCCCCAGTTGCTGCAGTTGGACCTACATTTCTCTGTTTTGTATTTGTGTGTGTGTGTGTGTATGATTCTATTCAGTTCCATTTACAAAGTAAGGAGAAGAGGTAGTCGGTACGGTATCAATATCAAACAAGATTTGGCAGTTCCCAGTTTACTTACTCAATTTCTGACTGATATCACCACTTTGGTTGCTAGAAGTAGGAGCTTCGCAGCATTTCCTACTGCATCCAGCTCCAATTATTATGGTTGAAATCACATTGTCTTGTGGAGATTGCAATTAGGGAAAATAGGTATTTAGTTCCTTTAGTGTAAAGAAGAAAATTTTTACGACCAGATGTTGACATGACCTATTAGTTCTGCATTCTGAAAAGTGTTGGAGTTTCAAGAGTTGAGCAAAGATGCACAATAGCTTATGGAACACAGCATATGGTTATGTGATCTCCAAATACATTGATCCAAAACGTTAGGTTTAAAGTTTAAGCATAGTGGTTCCCCCTACACTGAACCAGTCTAGTGAACTTTTTGTGTGCGTGTGGAATGGACCATGAGCTGCACAAAAATAATTGTTTCCTGCAGAGAAACAGAACTTGGACACCCAGAATTTGAATGAGTCATGAGCTTATAATAACTAATTGCAGAATGGAAAATAAAGATACAAGTATCATAACAATTAGCAGCTTGGAGATTATTATAAAAATATGAACATACCGGAAGTGTAATTTGCCCAGCTTCATCCATTATACAAATGTCAAATTTCTTATTTGCAAGTAAAGGATGATTGATTCCCAAGCAAGTGACTCCAACAACAGGTACATGTTCCATCCTTTGTTTAATGTCATGTACACTGCCTATATCCATCTCTACCATAACAAAAAACAGAACATAAACCCACAATTATTCAGAAGATATACAAGCAAAGAGGGTAAATTTTCACCTGACAAGCAATGATCCCGGATATCATCATGAACAACTTCATGCCTACCAATACGTATAAAGTCTATGCCCTGCAAGGGACAATGATTTGACAATGCAGAATGGGTTAACAATAAAAGCCTTCTTCAGAGGAATAATTTAAGCCAGCATTCTACAACAAGATTATTGTATCTTATAATTCTGCTGGGAGTTAATCAATCATGTACTCAGCAATATTCTCTACCACAAAAGCAGCTAAAATTACAAAAGAAACATATGGTTTAACATGAAATTAGTTATTACATAAAATTTCAGCATGATCATTGCTTACACCTATAAAGAGAGCAATCAATAAATATCATGGCTATCATGCTAAGAAAATGAGAATCTTCTCATTATTATACAGGAAACCAGATGCATCGAGAAAATTGCAGTATTAGGGAGAGCATGAAACATAGTAAACTATAACATGTCACAGAATATCAGGGCTTGTTCTCTTATCACAATCCATTTTAGTGTTATAACCAACACAATCTTTCAGAAAAATGAGGTTGGGGATAAAAGTTATTTTTAACTTCTTATTAATCTGGAGTCAAATCTGTATGAATTGATTACCTATTCTGGCAAAGAAATTGTAAGTGAAGACCCTGCCATAAAACTTTGATTTCAGTTTGTGGGCAGGTGGATCTACCCATTTTTTGCTTTATTGCTTATAATAAAGTGCCTACCATCGCAAAGTGTAACAATAGGGCTTTTACGACCAAGAACCCACTTTGGTTTTGGTACAAGGACACGTCAATGTGTTTAGTGTTAATAACCATTTGGTGTAACCAAATAGAATGTCCTGATTTCCTGCCGTGCGAGAAAAGGATCCCTACAATTCATTGACCATGCAGATAAGAAAATTAGATACAAAAGAGCCTAGGCTAAAAATGCACAATCAACTATAACGCATGAAAACTTCTCTATGTTCCCGTACCCGACTCACAAGTCCAAAGACCTAAACTCCATGTACATGCCATGAACACCGTGTCAGGACACACAGCCTTGCCCAACCTAAAATTTTGATATTTCAAGTTTAAAACAAGTAGATATCATTTCTCTAGTTTGATTCATAAGATCTAATTGGTCTAGATAGTAACATAGTTACTCAATAACTAAAGCTAGAAAAATCTAACGTGATGGATGTTGTTAATGCTATTTATACCTTTTTGAATATTTCCTATTGTCAAAGATTGAAACTTTTAAAATTAGCTTTTCCACTGATCAATGACTCCAGAAATTGATAAATTTGTAAAAGTTAGGTACAAGGACATGGCTATTGTATATTTAATATATGTTCCAATGACAAATTGAAGACAGTAAACATAGGCAATAACTAAATTATAGTTGTTTATCTTATCTCCCTTTTCCCTTCCCAAACCTGAGTACGTAGTGCTAGTCTTTTTCCTTTCGTCAACTCTAACTTCAAAGTCCTCCACTCATCCTCTCTTCTGTTTCATTTTTCTTTATTGCTTATTAGAATCCAAACAATACGCCAAAAAGGTGACAGATTGATGAGGATCCATGAAGAAGATAAACTGCAGGTACAAGTCCAAGTGCTGTCCGATGTGTGGTCGGAGTGTCTGTGGATGGACACAGATGGCACAGAGAAGAGAAGAAGAAATAGCCACCCGAAGGAAGGATAAATGTGTCTATCTGGTGTAGTATTACTTTCCCTCCCCCCTACCAATTATTGCTTTTTAAAACGTCCACCAACATGATCTAATTGGGCACTCTCAACAGTAAAAGCAACTAAAATTTGTACATGAGTTGCGTCTTATTAGGTTGAGATAGTCGTATTCAAATTAAGCCTAGGTTAGGCTACTGACCATGCTTCTTCACATCCATATTTTGTAGCCACAACTATATATATATATATATATATATATATATACACACACACACACACACACACACACACACACACACACATATATATAATATTATATATATTATATATATATATATATATATATATATATATATATTATATATATATATATATATACCACACACACACACACACACACACACACACACACACACACATATATATATATATATAATATATATATATATATATATATATATATTCCAAGATAAAACAATGAAAGTGTGTAACATCTCAAATAAACATTTGATGATTAAAAAAAGCCATACACACTCAAATAAACATTTGATGATTAAAAAAAGCCAACGGAAATTAAAGAATCAAATCCTGAAATGAAAACACTTCTGGCTCGTAGACACTTCTATAAATTGTATCCGTGCCGAACATCAACAGTTCCTTAGACACTTCTGAATACATACACTTCTGAGTACATGCACTTCTGAATACATGCAGACACTTTTCAAACATGTCATGATAATAGAATATATGTTTTAATTTGGGGTACTTGTTGTGCATGCTTCTCAAAGACTCAAACAAACGTCAACTAATACGTACACTTTTTTATTTAACAATACATGTCTGAATAATCATTTACTTTTGTATAATATACATAACAATTAGATCAACAGAAGTATTGACTAGAACAAATCTACCATAAGGTACATTTCAATATAAGAAATGAGAAACAAGGAGATACTTGATAAAAATTTAAACAAATAAGGCTACTTTCACACATCATAAAATGCAGGACAGGCTGAAATTTTAGAATATAGATGAGCATTATTTAGTTTATATTATTATTTATTGGAAACATGTCTCTCAAATACTGAATGCAAGAACAAGTCTACTCATTCATGTGCATATGAACTCTTTTTTATTAGTGTTATCGTATCATTTTGTTGTATCTATTTTCCTACTTCTAAAGAAATTATCATATCCCGTGTCTGCATAACGTGCATATCTCGTATCCATTCCCATGGTTCTTTCTATATAAAGAAAAGAGATTCTCTACAAACAAAAAAAACTACACCTAAGATTCTTTAAAATTCCTTCACATTTATTTCCTTTAACTAAAAGAAGCGAGAAAAACAACGATGTCACTTGAGGTAAAGTGGCAGTTGTCCCTAACCTCAACATCTTAGAATAAGTAGGTAGTACTTGCGATTGCGAGTCATTGCTGCAACAAAATCAGAACTGCTTCCATAGAATTTTGCAAAATAGTTCAGTAAGGTCCTTAAAAACAATAACAAGACATTGACTTGGGGATCAAGAGTTGTGTAAGGATGATAGACTTAACCGCACTAAAAGATAGAAAGGAAAGCATGTTATTTATCCCAGGTGGCATGCCGTGAAACGTGACTAAAGTTTAGGCAGTGCAACAAGTCAGGTATCTAGCATTATCCATGTGCACTTAACAAGAGATAGGTTTAAAAAAAATTATGAAGTCAATAAATTGAGCAAGTCAAATTCATCAGCGCATTGTTCTCTTGCCACTGTACATGTTAAACTTGACAGAAGCTGATTATTAAGATGGATAAAAGTATACTGGTTAACCTCTCTTGAGAAGCGGAAATGATGTCTAAAGTTAATCATCAGAAATCAGATCAGAGAGGCTTTGTGTCCAAGTGTCCAACAACTTAAAACTACTTATGGGTAGTTTAAGGTAGCAAATGATATGAATGCCAAGAAAGGAGCATATCTATAATGGATAAGACCTTTTGAGCTTCAAGGCACAATTTGTTCATCACAATTCCAATGAACTCATGGTAGTGATGGTTTACTAGCTGCAGATGATCAGGGGAAAAAAGCTCTTTATTTTCCTATGGCAATTTAGAATATATATGTTTATAAATTAATTTAAGACATAATTTGATTATTTTATATTTATACATACATTTATACCATCATAAAAAATGCCAAAAATGATAATGCTACGAACATAATGTCATATGATTCACTAATAAACAACCTGGGCTTTCAATTTGATAAGCAGATTATCTACAGCTGAGTTTGTGTATGATGTGAGTAAAATTGAAGCCCCTCTTATCAACAATGCCTTTACAGCATGTACCATTGTAGACGTTTTACCCGTCCCAGGCATCCCTAGGATAAGAGTGTAGTCCTTCGCAGAAAGTATCTGATAATTTACACAGAAAACAATAATTAAAGGCTGAAGGTGCCAAAAACTGTCAGCTATATCAAAAGTAGTAGAAACAAACAATGTTGTTGACTTGTCTGCCAAGAACAATAGGAAGAGAAACAAAAGGTTTACCTTGTGAACAGCTCTGCGTTGATCATTATTTATACTCTTCTCCGACCGGACATATGATAGTGCAGGATCTTGACTAAATACTCCTGCACTATCAAACCTAGGTGCCTGTTGGGTTAATTCAACTAAGATTCAATTGTGGCGTGCCATCAATGTGACAGCAGTCTAAAACAGGAGGAATGATACATATAAGCACCTACCTCTAGGTCAACAATCATTTTCCTGAGATGCAAACTATGAGATCTCTGAACAAACAGCTGAATGAGGTTGAATCTTGGATGAATGAAAACATGCAGGGGAAAAAATGATTATGCATCACATTGTGAAGATCTCCTAGAACTGAGCTGAAATTTGATTCATGAAGAAACCATTTGGAATATGACAAATCGTGAACTACCTCATGGTGGCAAATGATGAAGCAACATCATCCTTGTCAATCCGCCAAACTTCACGAGTAAGATTGCTCCTCTCGGACGAAAAGTCACTGCCTGGTAGCCTTAGGCGTCGAGTAAAAGATATCTAGAATTTCATACAAATTATGTACTGTTATGGTAGAAACTAGACGACCGAAGATCTAGAGAACGCCTTCATCTACATTTCTTATTAGTTATCAAAATCTCTCACAAATCTAATTACGGTAAATATAAGTAAATAAAAGAAGGAAGAAATATGAAAGAGCAACTTACTGAAACATTTATGTGATCAATATCGCATATGATTCCATTTGCAACTGCCGTGCGCCCAGATTCCGTACTAAGTATCTAATCAGAATAAACAATTAATGAATAAAAAAATGGTTTAAACACAGAAGCTCATGATGTATTGAGAATAATTTAGTACTACTGGAGAAGAATTGGTCCAAAATAATCAATATATTTGACAAAACTTAGTTTGATTGTGATGAGAAGTTAATCTTATACATATTCTGATACACACAAATAGATATCATTTATAATTACACATATTTCTTGTAATATTCTGCATGGTTTAACAGTTACAAGTTGGACAGTATGACCTTCAGTGGCACTTCACCATATTTTCCCCATTTGCTTAAAAAAATTTAGCAACAGTGGGATGACAGCCTATTAAATCATGCCTTACTTTCTTCCTCTGTGTCTAGACACTTTCCAAGAGAAGCATTCGGGTCATATAGCAGGAACCCTGTTCAACAAGCCTAAGCAAGTTAAGCCACGACGGAGTCTCATACTTCCAATCAGTGTCACCTATGACACAGAGGACAGTGTCAAGCGTCTGAAGTATCCCATTGTGTCTGACCTGCTATCTTAACCATTCAACTGAAGACATTCATTAGAGGGAACAGTTTATTAGGAATTTAATACTCTGATCATTGATTCATTAGTTCCCACCAGTCTTCACTCTGATATCCACTTCTCAGGCATTCTGAGATGATTGACATTTTACAGTACTCAACTTCAAGATAAACTAGGATTTATTGACTAACCATGGCACCATTTATTCACTAGTTTCCCTTCATCATCTTAGCCATGTAGGCTGCTTGCCGAACTATAAAGGTCTAGCCATCATAAATAAGCTTGTTATGGGTGATTATTCAAGTGTACAAGCACTAGGGTTATTCAGCCATATACTGTCGACCGAGTGACGTCTTAAAATTTATAGTTCCTGCTTTGAAGTTCACGGTTACAAAGTTTGTTCAGAAGCTTCAGTAGATTAATCAGTTTCTCCAGCATCTTCTGTGTATCCAGTATCTCCAAACACTATTAAGGAAGCCCGTTGTACTCGATAGCCAAAGGGCTAATGCCCTAACTACTAAAAAAATATTGTTACCGCCAATGTCATATAACACTTCCAAATCTTAAGTGTCTGTATCTTCTATAGCATGGATCCGGTATGATAAGGATCACATGGGTTTCACCAATTAGGGACATATTACTGTAGTTTTTACAACTCCCATATATGTGGGTCATCACATACCTAGTTGTTTTGTTTCAGTCTTTTACTTTGAAGGTGTTACCATACTAGCCTCAACTTAAACGGGGCACTGGTAACAAAGAGGTTTTGTCAGCTGAAATATCTATTAGGTTTTATCGTGTTGAATGTTAAATGTTTAATCTCAATAACAAATACTCTCTACAATCATTATTGTTAGGTGTGAATGAATTCTCAATATACTATCTCAATTCCATCATGATCCACAAGATACTAATGTTCACTACATTAGTATAGTTATGATGCTTGAAAAGGAAAGGGAGAAAAATAAACAGCGTTGAATAACTAGTGATGAAAAGGCCATACCACACGGTCACCACATCTAAGTGTACAAGCCGGACTGCTAGCTCCAAGTGTGGAATGGTCAATGTTCTCCCTGTTAGGCATTTTAGAATCATAATGTGGCGACTTCTGCCGGATAAAATTATATATGAACCTGTCATCTTTCATACAGCCATCTATTGAGAATCCACTTGAAACATCAAGAATGAGAGGAGAAAGGCTGTTTGTGCTGCGGTCTCTTATATTACGTGGATGTAATATCTCTTGCCTAGAGACCTGAAATTAAGATAAGACTACGTGAGTCCTTGGAAATTATGTATCATATGCAGTCACTATGACAAATATTAATGGTCACACCAGAGAAACTTTAGCTTCCAGGTCAATGAGTCGGTCCCAATGCCTAAGAAATTTGTTATGTGCAGCAGTTAAATGATCGGCATGTTCATCAAACAAATCACCAAGTCCGCTACTCTCTTTGTTGCCCCCATGAGCCTACATGTTAGAAGCAGAGCACACAATCTGAATTCAGAAAAACAGAACAAAAGAAACACGAATGTGTAGCATTACTAAATAATGTTTTAATCGACAAAACTTTAAAAAAGACAACAATGTGCATAATGCAAATAGTACTTACAAGTGGCGAACAAATAAAATCTAAAAAGAATTGGCGCACAAGAATATGACATAATAAGATGAGCATAAGCAAGGTGAGGATGTTGAGGTCAATGTTGGATAAGAAAAGTGAAAAGAAAAGTGAACTTAGAAACCCTCACCACGTTTATAAGGAACAGCACCTGAGCTGTCAATGCGTTGATGGAGGGAAGACTTGCAAACAAATAGAAAGTTGATTGCAGGAGGTAATAATAATAATATATGACAATGTATTGCCAATGGTACTTAAAGCCTGCCTCGCAGATAACTAAACCAAACAGGTTGACCCAAGTGCTAATTTCATTGGGAAAATTGACATCCCCAAGTGTACTACTCTTATCTGTGGGAACGCCCACCGAAACACCAAAAGATCACCTAATAGCAAGTAGAACCAGTCGGTGACTACTACTAGTTCATCTTGCAACCTCTTTCATCAAGCTCCTCCTTTGTACTCAATGCTTTAAAAGCAATTGGTCACACCTAGTGCTATTCTCAATGGGGACAGCACCAAACCCAAACACTTCTAACTAAAAACTATAGAAAATTCATCACAAAGTCCCTATGGGCACAACTGATGTAGAAGAAAGTGCAGAAGATGGCTTCCCAAAGGTAGCTGTCCGACTGAAACTGCAGTCTAGTACTTGATCCAGTGAAACATTGTGTTGCTTGCATATTTTCCTCTTATACTCAACATATGTGATGTAGTACAAGTTTGTGTAAATGAAGCAGAGACCCTACTATTTTGATATAGTACAAGTTTGTGTAAATGAAGCAGAGACCCTACTATTTTAAGCTTGTGTTTTGGGGTGCGGTTTTTTTATTTTTTTTGGTGGTGGTGGTGGTGGTGGTGGTGGTGGTGTGTGTGTGTGTGTGTGTGTGTGTATTGCAAAGCGGTAGAAATATAAGAGATATAATCAAATAAACATCTTTACCTTGTGATAGACAGTACAAATATTAAGATGACGACAACCTTTGCACATGGTCAGATTCTGCAGTGTACAAAGAAAAACAATTATGCTTCTACAAATCCAATGTGCTGAGCAATTAAGAAAGCTAAGGGGATTTCAATACAAATGGGTACCTGTATCATTGGGGGAAGGTTTTGTGTACTTGATGCCTTCAAAATATCAGTTGCAAGCTCATTCCGGCGCATAATTAGACCGACCACATCAGACCTTTGAACCTTAATCCCCTAGATATACAAAGATATATTTACATAATTGAACATAATTTATAATCTATAACTAGCAATGTTTCGATATACCAGTGTCTGGTCTGTGTGAAGATAATACAGAAGGCCTGAGTTAATATCCTTTTTCAAGTATCTGAAAAACAAGAATATCTGAAGTAAGATATACTCAAAATACTTCTTGGATTATTTGACAAATTTATGAAGCCTCAACCAATCAAATCAAACATACCGATCAGACATCAGAAGGGTGTACAGTATCACCTGGGCACAATGCTCCATTGCAGACTATAACAAAATACATTAGCAGAAAACAATAACAAGCAAGAGTAAGCCTTCAAATAAATAGAAATATCCTTTAAACAACAAAAATGCATAAACATGCAATAATGCTGCCCTAAGCAGTACTCGATCTGTTGGATATTTTTTTAAAAAGTCAAATTGACTTAATCTAATTCTCTAAAATCTCTCAACTAACCCTCTAAAATCTCTCAACTAACCAACTCTTTTCTCCTTAACCCTCTCCACCATCCGTTCTCACCTCTCTCCCTATTTAAGCATCCCTTTAATCCCTTTCTAAAAGAAGAAGCACAGAGCTCAATTCTTCTCTTAATGCATCATCATTCTCTCTAAACTTCTCTCCTCTAATCTCTTAATCAATCCTTTCTTCAAAACTCTCTGCTCACGTACAAGGAAAAGAAGAAATAAAGAAAAGAAGAGAAAGAAAAGAAAAAAAGAAATAGAGAGATAATTATTTTTGCAACTATTTTATCGGTAGCATTATTTGGGCAACCTTCTTCATCTGAGCAGAAGCTCTGTGCTCTCGCCCGAGTACGGAGGTCGGTCGTTTCCGGAGGCTTTTATCGCTAGGGAGGAGAGGATCATCTGCGCCAGAACGATAGGCGGGTCCTCAATCTTCTAGGACAGTGATTACACGACTGCTCCCGTTCAGGCTAGATTTTATTATTTATTTTATTCGGATTTATTCTGCATGCTATAACCTTTAAAATTGATAAATTTCTAACAATCTAGAAGATTGACTTATTTAACCAAATCAAGAGGTACATTTTTTCTTTCTATTTTATATGGTGAAATATAACTTAAATCTTCAAATGTAAAGATTCTCTCTTTTATTGCATTATGATGGATATTCATATGTCATATTATATCACTTGCATTTGTTACATAATTAATTACAAGTTTTATGCTAGAATGCACTTGTAAAAAGCACGAGTAAAAAAAATGATATGTTTAAGAGGTGGTACTAGAAAATGACCACGTAAATTTGGAATGTCTCTCTTGTAGGCAACCAATGTAACTTTGGAAGGTCTTTTTGTAGGCAACCAATTTAAATTTGAAAGGTCTTTTTTGTAGGCAACCAATGTAACTTTGGAGGGTCTTTTATAGGCAACCAATTTAAATTTGGAAGGTCTCTTTTGTAAGCAACAAATTTAAATTTGGAAGGTCTTCTTTGTATGCAACTAATTTGCAACCTCTTATAAAAGAAAATTTTAAAAATTATGCATATAAAGTATGAAATATATTTTAAGATACGAAATCCTATTATAAGGTTCTCTTTAGTTCTTAGCATGTATCTATTAGTAATGTCATTCATATATGTGCATATGCATGCATGTGAAGATATAACTAAAGTATTTTAGTTCCACTTTATGGGCCAAATTCTAATCTGTACAAACCCTATGTAGTTACATCTCCAAACATAGACTATGACATTTATGCTTACATGTTACATTCAAAACTAATGTTTAGTTTTTCTTGTTGCTAAATTGATACCTCTATCTATTGAACACTAAAGATTCTATTAACAATGTTGGGCTTTAGTTCTTTAAATGTACAACATATTGTGTTCCCAAAGAACCCGGAAGTTATGACAAATCCTTTGTGTTTTTGTTTTTTATTCCTTCCTTGATAATATTTGATCATTACAATTTCTACTTGACATGAGCATATATCAAATTTGTTTAGACATTTAAAATAAAAATGTCTAATTATTATAATCTATTGTTAACTAGAAATTTCTCGATAAGAGACATTAATAACTATGCTAACATGTTTTTGTTGGCCTTCTTGTTTTGATGATGTTTAACAAACAATTTATAACTAATGTTGTTTGTCTAGTATTTGTGTTTATCTATTTATTGTAGACAAACAACATGTTGGAGGATGGATGGAATCGAGCATTCGCAATCATATCCAATGAAGGTTGGCGGAATAGTGGTTAAAGCCTATGCAATTCAAGTTCAAGATTCAAGTTCAAGATTCAAGTTCAAGCTTCATCCGTAAGTTTACAAAGAAGAGCTTACTGAAGATCAAGATCATTACATGGGTAAATAGTTTAGGTTTTATATTATGTGTGTTGATACTTTAAGCTCAATTATATACACACATACATGTTTTGGTTTTATAACCTTCAACTTTATATAAATATGAAACATATATACTTGTTTATACACATTTCATATTTATCGATTTTGTTTAGCCATATATATATGAAACAAATGGATATAACTATATGTATACACGTATTTGTTTCTTTTGTTTAGCCATATATATATGAAACAAATGGATATAACTATATGTATACACGTATTTGTTTCATATCCATACATGCAAATAAACATGATTTCATTTATGGATTAAAGACGTTTATTTGAAAGATTATGTGTTTATGGATTAAAGACTTGTTTACAATATTTTATATCTTTTCCTAAGTCTATTAATCCATTCAAAAGGATTTGCAAACTTGTTTGAAATTGTTTTTGTCAAAATCAAGTATTGATGATTTCGTATTCTTAAATAGTTTACAAAATAATTTATATTTAACAAATGGGAAAAGTAATTTTAAAATTTTTTTTTGTAACATGTTCTATTACATGTTTATAATCATTTCACAAAATTTTATCATTTTTGGAGTTAATTTACTATACTGAATTGATTTTACAAAATCAAGTGTTTCAGTAATTTTTAGAATCTAGAATATTTGTTTTAAAATATTTATTTCTCACAAATGGGAAGTGATATTTCAAAAATTATTTATCTAACATGTTTATATACATGTCTAGAAACATCCCACAAAATTTCATGATTTTTGGAGTTGATTTACTATTTTTAATTAATTTTACAAAGTCAGATACGTAAATTTCCAGAATGCTGGATTTTGGGGTATTTTGGTCTTTTCAGCCTATAACGGCTAGTAACGGCTAGTTTTTGATATTTTCGGTTTTTGGGGGTTTGTGGCTGGTTTAAGAGGCTATAAAAAACCCTCAACTTTCATTGTTTCATATGGATGTTTAAGAAAGTTTTAAAACAAATTTTACAAGTTTGTGAGAGTTTGTTTCAAGTTTTGAAGATTGTTTTAGTTTATGCAAAAAGAGGTTTACAAGAGGAGATCATTTGTTTGGTGTTTGGGCTTCAATCTCATTCTCTCTCGCTCTTGATTCTTAGAGAAGTTTTTTTTAACTTATCTTCTAGCTTATTTATATTTTGATTCATACATATTTGTGCTAGATTGATTTAAATTTAGTTGTTGTTATCTCTCATTGATTACACACACCCACTTAAGCCTAAGTATTTTCATACATAGTATATTTAGGATTATGAGATTATATTCTTTGAGAGTGAGCTTACATAGAGTTCTCATCCACTGTAGAGAACAAATCTTGTTGTTGAGCCTAATTGTGAGATACATTTTGTAATACACTTGTACACCGAGAGGAGTGTGTGGTGAGAGACGAGGTCGTCCCAAGAGGAGTGGGGTAGATGGCAATGCCTAGAGGTAGGTTGTAATTCCTAACACTTGAGGGAGACACGGGCTAGAGACCAACACTTGAGAGGGTGTAAAATGTGATTGCAAGAGTGTTGATTGTAAAGTTTTCGGTGAACTAGAAAACTGAGTCTGAGGTGTAAACATTATTCGGGTGTGCGTAAAGAACCCGGTTGTGATAGTGGAGATCTCCTCGAGATGAGGAGCGGGGACGTAGGTCGTGGGGACCGAACCTCGTGAACATATCGTTTGTTTGTGATTGCATTGGCGCACTTATTTTTTGTGTTTATTATTATATAGCCTTTGTCAATTGCTCATTGTTTATATTGCCCACTATCTTATTTATCTTGTTTATGATTATTTCACCCTTGTGTTAGTTTATATATCCTTGCACATATTTCACCATATACCTCTTTGCTAGGATATATATCTCTTTGTTCATATCACTTATCCTTGCATATATCTTGTTGTATATCATACTTGCTAGAATAATTTGTTAATAAGTTTTAATTGGCATTTAAATCGGATTAGATTAGCATAAACCCTATTCACTCCCCCTCTAGGGTTCTTTCCTAGTGACATTAGGGTCTAACAATTGGTATCAGAGCTTGGTGCTCTTTGATTTAAGGTCTAATCGCCTTGAGTTAAAGATCCAAGTTATCTTTTTGTGCTAATCCAATTTTTAATTTTTGTGCCCACATTGGAGAAATCCAAGTGGAGCGATCATGATCATAAAATGTTTACAATGAACAAGCTTTTGTTAGAATTTTTGCTTAATGCTTTTGACTCATCCTTTTTCTAACAAATTTGTTCATTTTGATAGTGCTTACAAACTTAAAAATTTATTGAAGCACATCAAGGGGGCTTGGAGGCAATCCGATAAGATTTGGAGAATTCTTCTTCAAGTTCATGTGGAGCATCATGCACACAGCCACAAGAGTATAACTCTTGTGTAGTAAGCGATTCTGATTCCAATAATAATTTATCTATTGATAAACTCGTTTATGCATATGAAAGATTAATGCATGCCTACACCAAGTTGCAAAATAATTTTATAGATCTAAAAAACAAGCATGTAGATTTGAAATCTGATCATGAGATACTAGTGTCCAAATTTGATGTCATTGCAAAAGAAAATACTATGCTTAAAGAAAACAATGACGTGTTAAATTTGGAAAATAAAAAATTGAACTTATCCATGTCTAGCTTATCTCATGCTAAAGATAATGTCATGTTAAAAGTAGAATGCATTAGAAATAAATTTGATTCTTTTAAGAATAACCACACATGCTCTATTTCTATTTCCAATACATGTATGCAAAATGATGAGTTGAGTCAAGTTAAACATCGCATATCGTGTTTAGCTTTAACCTTAAAAACATGTATGGTAAATCATGATAAGCTTATGAACATGTGTGCTAAGTCACATGCTACTACACCTAAACATATCACACATCATACACACATGTATAGCAAAATTCACAAGTATTCCATTTGCGGCCGAAAATGCCATTTAGCTAATTTTTCCTATGATGCACACAAGCCTAAGAATGCTAATGCTCTTTGTGCATCTCATGTAGCTTCATCATCATGTACGCATACACATTCATATGCTCATTCTCATAAAGTTCATCATAAGCATGCTGATGTGTATCATTGTGATCTTTGTGGTCATTTTGATCATTTGGCCGAATATTATTTTGATTTAAAAAGAAAATCTTATTTGCCAAATGTTTCTAGTAGACCACATATTTTTAAATGTGATGTTTGTGATAAGTTTGGACATCTTATAAAATTTTGTTATAATATGCAAAAAACTTCTAAGTTGCAACATATTCCAAATAGACCTTTGTTTAATGATGTTTCTCATTTGCAAAATAATTTTAAAAGATAATTTTTATTTATAAATGATTCCCGTGCACAAGCTAATGGTCCACAAAAACAAATGGATCTCTTTCATTGCACAAATTGCAATCGGAATGGTCATTTGAGCGAATATTATTATGACCGTGTTAGTGCACTACATATGCCCAAGAGGGTTCATAATTCTAGAGCTTTGAGCTTTATTGATAGAGATCATGTCCCTAAACAATTCGGCACTAAGTTTTGACGTCCTATCATTTTAATCGTGAGAATCATTTTATAGCACTTCATTCGAATACATGTATAATGTTTTCTCTTGAGATTTTAGGAAATGATTAGAGTTGATATAAATATGCTCCGCCAACTAATATGCCTAGTTACAGGAGATGTGATAAATCAATGTTCTGGAAAATCAAATCAAGAGGTATATCTTACAACTGCTATCTATATGATGAAGTTCAAAATCATGAAGTTATGTTGAAATTAGTCCATCAAATAATTAAAATTGCTATTAGGTTCCCTTATCCTTATAAGTTATTTCAAAATTAATCCCTCTTCTTGCTACTTGTACTATTGCCTGGATAGACTAGTTTTAAAATAACTTAACGACTAGGGGACCTAAAGTCAAATTCAACAATATGAAGGGCTAATTTTAAAAATAACTTAAGAAATAGAGGACTTGATAAATCTATACAACGTCTGCTAGGCAAAATGGTGATCTTGGACTTTGTAAAGTCTAAGAAGAATCTTGTTGACCCTTTGACTAAGGGATTATCCAGGAGTGTGGTTCTGAATTCATCAAGGGAGTTAGGGTTAAGCCCATAGATGAGGTCACTGACAGCGGTAACCCAACCTCTATTTGGAGACGTAGTCCTAATGTTGGTTTAATGTGGTAGTAACAAGCTGGACTAGTAACTCTCGTGTGGAGCATCGACCTAGATATATTTATATATCGTTATGTAGCATCTGCTACTACCCCTTCTCTTTGGTGACGATGCTCTTATGATACAGCTGGTTAGGTTGAGTTTTACTCTTAATAAGTCCAACGTGTGTATTATAGGGGATATTTTAAATATCCAGCTATAGTACCCTTTGAGGACTTAACTACGTGAGAGAAACCGTAATGGTCGCGGTTGGGGGGGCTGGGCTAACCCCTAGAAACTCTCATGAGTCGATTATTGTGAGCATGACCTTTAACGCTCAACCCGCTTTGCTCAATAGATAAAAACATATTGTGTGTTTTTATCAATACCTGATTCAAGGGGCCTAATTCAAGGCCTAGTCCATTATGTCCCTCAGGTGGCGATGAGCTCACTAAGAAAAGGTTCAAAGCCGGAAGCTATCTCTCCCGAATTCACGATATAAAAGGTTGCTCAACCTATGTATATTTTGTAATTTATTGATTTATTTATTAATTTTGAGTTTTCAGTCAATATTATCTTTTGGGGAGGACTGTTGGATATTTTTTGAAAAAGTCAAATTGACTTAATCTAATTCTCTAAAATCTCTCAACTAACCCACTCTTTTCTCCTTAATCCTCTCCCCCATCCGTTCTCACCTCTCTCCCTATTTAAGCATCCCTTTAATCCCTTTCTAAAAGAAGAAGCACAAAGCTCAATTCTTCTCTTAATCCATCATCATTCTCTCTAAACTTCTCTCCTCTAATCTCTTAATCAATCCTCTCTTCAAAACTCTCTGCTCACATACAGAGAAAAGAAGAAATAAAGAAAAGAAGAAATAAAGAAAAGAAGAGAAAGAAAGAAAAGAAAAAAAAGAAATAGAGAGATAATTATTTTTGCTACTATTTTATCGGTAGTGTTATTTGGACAACCTTCTTCATCTAAGCAGAAGCTATGTGCTCTCGCCTGAGTACGGAGGTCGGCCGTTTTCGGAGGCTTTTACCGCTAGGGGGAGAGGCCAGGACGATAGACGGGTCCTCAATCTTCTAGGACAGTGATTACATAACTACTCACGTTCAGGCCAGATTTTATTATTTATTTTATTCGGATTTATTCTGCATGCTATAACCTTTAAAATTGATAAATTTCCAACACGATCTGTAGATTCTAAACTTCATGGTGTAATGATTGAATCTTGGATAGCATTTTAAAAATGTATAAAGAGATGGTAACATCCTGAGAATATGTTATAAGAAGAAAACAAAGATGCATTCCACCAAAGGAAACGTAACAGGAATAACCAATCATAGACATGAAGCGTAACCTCATTGCATCCCCAGATTCCATATATTAGATGTAGGAAATGTTAACAACGATGCGAGAATTCTTTTCATCTCATTTCCTTTGTTTTCTTACTTTTTATCTTCTGTGTAACTTAAATATATTCCGTTAATGGGTAGATTAATCAAATATACAATGAATTTCATCAGAGTTCATCACATAACAAAAGTGTTCATCCTATTCCAACTCGTACATACGCCTATAGCTATGTAGCACAGGCACTTATACCATAAATTTGTGTCGTTGTATACACTTACTATTTATGGCATTATATCGTGTCCATGTCAGTCTATCCATCTTCGTGTAACATAGGCCTAAAGCATGCCTTAGATCCTAGAAGGCAGCACCCTTGATGATTTCTCTCCTAAAAAGTAGAACCAAATCTGAAAGGCTAAAGATGTACTAGAAGTATAGAAAAGAATCTGTTATACAATTGCGTAGAAGAGTATAAACCTGTATAACCAACGCTTGAATCATATACTAATCCATTGTAATTAATTTGTTCCCTCAAAACAAAACTAATGTAGCTATTCTCTGAGAAACAAGGTTTACTTTTCAGATGAAGGAGAAAAAGTTTTGAACCCAAACTAAGATATATAATCCTCAAGTCTAAATTTTAGGCATACCTAAAGCAGTTTCAAGTAAATAATCTAATAACTTTAGGCATAAGCATCACAGTCAAGAGTCAACATCTCTTATACAAGGGAAAATTTGCAAAATAGTCCGTTTTTGCTAATTATTTAGCAAAATAGACCGTTTTGCTAAATAATTAGCAAAATGGACCTCTTTTTGGCCAACAGGCCAAAAAGAGGTCTATTTTGTAAAACAGCTCAAAAAACATACGAGACTAGTAGTCCCGTATGTTTTAATCACGGATTAGTGAACTCAGAAAATTTCACAAAACATTAAGATGAACTCAGAAAACATACAGGACTACTAGTCCCGTATGTTTTCTGAGTTACTAATTCGTGATTAAGTTGGCTCTAAACATACGGGACTAGTAGTCCCGTATGTTTTCTGAGTCTTGTTTTTCAAAATCAACCTTTTTTTTCAAAAGAGGTCTATTTTGCTAATTATTTAGCAAAACGGTCTATTTTGCTAAATAATTAGCAAAAACGGACTATTTTGCAAATTTTCCCCTTATACAAACTTTGATAATGTTGCAAGAGCACAAAACCTGGAGACTTAATTTATGATAACTTATATGTTTTAATCCAAGACCAAGCTCATTTCACTACAACTATGACCTGCTGGCTAATGTATATAAAGGTTACAATTAAAGAGGATAATTTCTTTCATTTTCACTTTACAATGTGAAAGTTTAGGATGGTACAATATTTTCAAATGGAGTTCTAACCATAAGGAACTACAAAATAAAATAATGAAGATGGCAATATGTAATATAGTATAATCATGAATAAATCATTACAAACATCAATTATGGATGAATATATATATTTGAATTAAACATTTTACAATGTAATATTATTTGCAATAAATGAGAAACTTATGGAAGCTAACAATGGCATTAAAATAATAGTGCTAAAATTGAAACAAAACAATACAATTTTCAGTAAAAAATTGAAAAGGAGTTAGTACCTGACCAGTAGTTCCTTTGCCAGTTTTAAACTCCAAAGGCATAATTTTCTTGTATGAATCACCACAACTTGAACTCATTATTATGCGAAGAGATGCATCAATCATTCCTTTCAATCCATATCTTGGTGCCCATGCCATTTCCTCAATATCAATAACCTGAATTCCCCAATGCATATGTTGCAATTATGAACTTTGCATGTTTGAAACATTTAAGAATACAGATAAGGGAATAAACTAAAGGGTAGACTGTTCATAATTTTTTTTAGACTGGGGGCGTGTCCAATGTGCATAGCTAGTCAATCAAAATAATTAGGGTGTAGGATTATCTGTAGAAAGTGTAGTTAGTTCTCATTTTCCTTTTGTCTATGTCCTTTATAAGAATGGCAACTGATGAATGCACTTAGAACCTTGGGTAAACTTTCATAAGGGAAGAACAAGGAGAAACTAAAGATTTTTAAGTGGGAACACCAAGAAACATTGTACCCTTTAAATTCAAGCATGCTGATTGGCATGTGTCAGGCTTAAATTTTTTAGGACATTAACATGCATAAATATATACAAATATACCTGCAGGTGTGTGTCTGTAGATAGTTTTAGTTCCTAAAAGAAGGATTTGCAAGCAAACCTTATCATCAGATAACCATAAATGGATTGCCAGAAGTAGCAAGCTGTTTAAATCTAAGACTGTTGCTCAATCAAAAGACAAATTAGAGAGAGCTTTAAAGATCATTAACTAAAGATCCATTATTTCGATTGCTATGTTTTGTGCCCCAAGCTAAAGATCTTCAACTTGCTATTTTTCGGATTTCCATTTTGATGCATGGTGAGAAAGCTCAAATTTATCTATTGGGTATTTATGCACTCTTAATAATATAAATCAACTTGAAAGGAGATTAGCTAGTCTTGCAAAGTTAGTAAAAGTAAAATCAGAAAATACCAATACATAGTTCTTTTAAGGGCTTGTTCGTTTGCCTTAAAAAAATGGGAAATCAAAGAAATAGAAAACTATTTCTAAGAAATATGGGTTTTTGAATTGTTTGGTTGGCTAAAAAAAAAGGAAATCAAAGAAATGGAGATGAGATGAGATGAGTTGTCACATTATTATTGGATGATGTGAGTGATTTTTTAAGAAAAATAGTTTTGTTGTTGTTCGGTTGGCGAAAAAAATAAGGAAATGAATTATAAGAAACCTATTTCCTGTAGTTTTGTTGTTTTCTTTTGTTTGGTTCATTCTTAAAAATAAGAAATGAAATGAGATGAGATGAGTTGTCATTGTATTATTGGGTGATGTGAAGAAAGATTAAGAAAAGTGTTTTCACAACTTTTTGGGATGAAAACTAAGAAATGAAATGTTAATGAGATGAGGTGAATTGTTATAATATTTTATTCGATGATGTGAGTGATTTGAAATGATGAAAAGAGATGAGTTGAGTGATATTTGGATGAAAATAATATTTTATTAGATGTGATGGATGAGTTGTTAGATGAAAATAATATTTTATTAGATGTGGTGGATGAGTGGTTAGATGAAAATAATATTTTATTAGATGATGTGGATGAGTTGTTGGATGAAAATAATATTTTATTGGATGTTGTGGGTGAGTTTTAGGGATGGAAATGGAAGAAATGGGTTATTTTGAGATTTCCACCTTTTCCATTTCCATTTCTTGGTTTTTAGGAAATAAACGAACAGGCCCTAATACAAGCAAACTCTAACAAGTACATACCTCAGACACATGAATAGATTTCTGCCCCTCACATTGGCCAAAATCAACAGTGGCACCGTTCAGTTCCTAAAACAATGCTGACAACTCATAAGATCACAAATGTACAAGAGAATTAAATGCCAAGTGTAAAACATGATGGGCTTAATTTACATGAAACGGCAATGAAAACAATTGACAGTTTGACTATAACATATTATTTATTTAGAAGGAAACTCCAGGACTGTGGCAGGATCCTAGCTTAGGGTGAGCTGAGAAGCAGTGCAATCACACAAAAGTATCCAACAAAATGGAAGACCATACATGTTTGGAATATTTTTTTAGCAGTTTCGAAACCCTACGTGGTATGTGGTTGGTCCTTCAAGTATATTGCAACTAAGTCTGGCATTCTTCCATATCAGTTAAAATTTACTCCAAAACAATATGCCTCAGTTAGCAGAGACCAACCTGGAATGACAAATAGGTGGCATCTGAAAACAAAACAACCTCAATCCTACTTCCTGGAAAGCAACTGGTCTTCCAACAAAGTATTCACAGTACGATAATGACAATCTCAACCAAAACTAACTCAAATAAACTGAAATTTGAATACCAAAAGACGATGCAAGCACATTGACCAAAAAAATTTAATCTAATCTCAGGAAAATTTTACATAAGTTAAAAAAAACTTCACTAAAAATATGAACTTTGTGATTGCATGAAATTAAGTGAAAGTAATTCAACTTTCCCACGAGTGTTTATGGACATAAACTTAGTTTAGACTATATATCAGGTATGGTTTTTTTATATCTGGTCTCTGCATTACAAGAACTCCTTTCTATGTTCATCAAAACAGGCTCAAAGTTTCGGTGCATGACAAAACCCCACCGCATCACACTAAATACTGCACAAATCCAAAACTAAAATATCAAAATATAAGTAACTATAGTAGGTAGCCACATTCAACAAACAGTAGTCATTATAAGTTGGTATCTGGAACTACATTTGTTGCTAACGTACCACACAAAATAATAAATAGCATTTTTTACAACTGATTGCAAGGAAATAATAACAGTAATAATAATAAAGAGGATAACAAAAAAATGAAAGAGCATAATGGACAAATGAACCAACAGTGTCACGCCATAATGAGTGATGGAACAACTTAAGTACCTCTTGAGCTTTGAAATATCTTAGCCAATTTAATATCTTGGGAATCGCCTCAGTAAGTGTTGAGTAAACATCAGTCTCGCTGGCTGCATAAGACATGCCGAGAGTTACAATGCTAAGAAAGAAAATAATTTAAAAATCACGAAATAAGTCAAAAACTGTTAACTACAGATAACACTTCATCTACGCCTTATCCAGCACTTATATCCTCTCATAGTCTCATGTGGTTAATTAGCACCCAATACCCAAGCAGTAAAGCCTCAATAGGTTTTCTCTTGTATTTTTGTCATGGATAACTAATTCAAGTTGTTTGGGGTGCTAAATAAACCTCTCTGAGTGGTTTAAATTTATAAGGAAATGGTGTTATATGAAACATTAATGCAAAATAATTCATCAGAACTCAAAGATGGTGTCAGAAGAGCCTTAAGGTAGCATGTTCGATATAAACAAATCTATATAGCCCCAAAAGCATGTGCTACAATCAGCTAGATATCGAGAAAACATGTGAACTCATGCAGACCAGTAGACCACTCATGAATACCTCCACATGCATACAAGTTTTCAATACTGTTGTGAAGCACTGTTCCAGCATACTCTTCCAAGAAGTGTCTCGTTGGTGAATCTTTAACAAGACCAGCCTGACAGAAAATTTCAATTTGGTAATTTTAAAAATCCTGGACTATTCATCTTTTGAAACCGAATGTGAGTTTGTAGTTGTCAAGGGTAAAGCATAGAACCTGGAAAATCTGATGAAGCAATGTACCAATTAATGCAGCAACAGAATGCTCAGAGCATTTAAGCCTCTCATCTAGAACAGCACGCCTTGGGCAATTGAAACTAGAAGCAACCTAGAATTAGCTCATTAACATCCATTTTGATAAGAATAATTATGGAAAACTGAACCCTCAGACTGACAAATATCTCAAAATACATAATTAAAAATTGAACTTTTCGACAAGAAAAGGTTGTGATTTTTTTACATATCATGTAAAATAATGTGAAGCAGCCGTGTAAAACAAATACAAAGATATAATTTACCCGTGTTCCAGATACAAGTATGTCCGGATGAATGATCAAGAGGTTGTTGTCATGGTCAATAACACATTTTCCCTGGTTATCGAACTCCCCAATAACATTTATCGTATCGCCGGGTCCAATCAAGCTATAAAACCTAAACAAATAAAATGACAACCAATTTCAGCAAATAGACAAGGATCGTGGAAATGGAGTGAAGCGAAATGAAAAATAGGAAATTTTCTATATGCTTCTTAATGTGTATACAATCTTGGGCTGCATTTGGCTTAACATAAACTTAATATGCATCCATTTTTAGACAAAATGCAATTTTCACGTGTCAATATAATAATAATATGGCATTCAATTCCAACCACTTGTACTCTGGTTGTTGGCTTATGCAGGATGCACACATTGTGTTCCCCTATTCATCCAACCTATCTTTTTTGTTGTTTGATGATTTAAAACCTATAAGTAACTTTGATCTGAGATTATTCTTTACCTTTGCATAAGTTACTGTTGGCCATTATAATTTGCCAGTATTTTATTCCATTCACATGAATTTTCTTCTTTTCATTTTAAATTTTGTGTATTTTTATTTTTGAATTATTTTTCCCATCTGGTGGTGTTAGGTAAATACCATGTTATCCACATGCTTGGCATGATAGTCCTAACTGCACAGGACATCATAATGCATTCCAAAACAGAAGATATCACCTCACTAAGTTTGATGGCTTGTGTGTTAATAGAAGATGCAAAAGAGGAATGAAATGAGGGTGACAAGTTATTCTGGTAGCACAAGCCATAGGAACAACTAACAAACAACTAGACAAAACTCGGAAGTTGTTTTCCTTTAAATCATTAAATCCTATATGATTTTTTTTCTCCAGTATGCTCATACCAAGAGGATGTATTTATATGGTAGAGAGAACATTGGGTTATAAACTTTCTTTGGTATTGTAAATATTGCTCGTGATTTCTTTCTGGGTTGACATCACATAACAAGCGATATCTAACTCTAGCTTTCCAAAGGACTATTTAAAGAGATCAGCAAGCAATGATGATTATGACTATAGACCTTACAAATTTTGACAATTGGATTGTGAATAAATCATCAAAATTAACTACAAAACTTGCTTTGGTCTTTTTGGCACTTGAGATGAACTAAGGCCTCTGAAGAGAACTGAAAAGAAAAAAAAAGAGTATGGAATCCTATAAGAAGTGAAAAGTAGCCTACATATATAAATATAACTCCATGATACAATCACAAAAGTATTCTAAGAGGTTAGGAGGGAACAGTAATGACTTTGAATGGCTAAGAATAAAAAAAGAGATAGGGCATGAAGAAGCTTAGTGATACTGTCAAAAAATGTACCATCTTATTGTACATAAAGGATTGTTATTGCTACAATTAACAATCTACTCCTCTATACAAATGGGAGAACCCAAGATTTATTATTCATGCTACAGTAAATGCTACAACAGCATTTACTGTAGTGTTATTATTGTAGCGAACATAAAACTAGACACTGTGTTTTTTTAAAAATATTATTGTAGCACACGGGGAATACTGTAGCAGAAGCAGAATACTGTAGCAATTCAAAAAAATAAAACTCTCGTTGTAGCAGTTAAAAACCAAGATTATTGTAGCGGGAAAAAAATATGGCGTGCTTTGCACGGTGTTCACACTAGTGTGTACTAAATTTAGGAACTGAGCTTCCATGAAATTATCTTAAGCACATATACATGACAAAATAGGATGTTAAGATGAAAAGAGTGAACTAAGAATGCAGATCTTAGCAATCATTGAAAGATGTCTGATGACATGATGAATGAGTCACATGATTGAGTGGGTTCTTGTCACGCCCCAGGCCCACGGGCCCATTAGCACGTGCAAGTCGTGAGACCCACCGAGAGCAACTCGAACGTTGGCTCAATTCACTTCCAAAATGCTAGCACTAGTTGTTCTTGGGCCTTGGGTTTTTCTCTATTTAAACCACTAACATTTCTTCACACTAGTTCATATGGGACTAAAGTGGGGGTGTCACGATCACCTTACCTTACAAAGACGACGTCCTCGTCTTCACGACATAACAATTGGCACATCCCAGTGACACTGCCAGTTAATGTGGACTTTAGAGGTGACTCCTACGGGCTCTAACGGTGGCTCCCACCGCATCCACACGGTGTAACACTTAGTCAAATATAGCACTTAGCTCCACACTTTCGACTAGCAACTGCTCTGATACCATTTTGTCACACACCGGGCCCACAAGCATGTTGGCGTGTGTAAGCAGTGGGACCTACCGAGAGTAACTCGAACGTTGGCTCAATCCACTTCCAAAATGTAAGCACTAGTTGTTCTTGGACCTTAGGCTTTTCTCTATTTAAAACACTAATATTTCTTCACACTAGTCCATATGGGACTAAAGTCGGGTGTCACAGTTCTCGATTTGCATGTATAAAAGTATATTTTGAACAAATATGAAATAACTTTAGGGTACATTGCAAAAATGGCTGGACATATTAAAATCTAAATAGCATCAGGTATAAAGTAAAGGTATACTGACCACTCATTGCATAAATGCAAAACCCGCTCTTGGCCACTTGTTTCATTCAATAAGCGAAGGACCTAAAAGATAAAGGAGTACAAAAAACAGTGTTGTTATCCTACATAATCAGGCAAATTTGAATAGCTGTGCCAGTAGAAACCTTGAATGGGTTCTGACTACACTTTGGGCCATCACTTTTATGTTTTTCAGAGACCTGAAACATGGTTTAAACAGCATGGTGAACTTCTGAATATGTAAACAACCACCTGTAATAACTCAAGCATAAAACTGAATAGTGGGTGGGTTAAGACCTCCAATACAAGAAAACTTTCATCCTTCAAATCATGATTAGCCTTTTCAGGAGCATCTACAGCATTTCCTTGGTTAAGGTCATTTTGTATTCCTAGCTTGCCATTAGTGGCACTGAGATGCTCACACGAATTTAGGGTAGGTTCTGGATCTTCTGTAATTGCATCTTCTACTTGATCAAGAAGTTCAAGCAGTTGCTAGAATGGGATGCAAGAAATCAACAACGAAATGCTTAACAATACTCCAAGATAATTACTTAATGAAAAAAGGTTATAACTGTTATGCAAACCTTCCGATACTGTCGAGTTTCAGGCTGGTTTGTTACTCCAGCACCAGCACCAGCACCTACTAACTGTAGCTAGAAATAAATTGTTAGATTCTTAGCAGTGAATGAAAATGACAGTATTATATTGAACTAATACCTGATGGGGACCATAAGGCAGAGAGGGTGGGGTGTGAAACGGACCCTTAGACTCAGTAACATCAAGAGAACCTGATCCATGATTGCTCACTTGAATGGTACCAACCTCACTCTCAGTAGTAGAAAATCTTCTTGAGGACGTCAAAGACTTATCCAGTGCCATGGCGGTCGGAGAAGAAAGCCACCGTTCTAATTTTCCAGCAGAGCAAGAAGAGTCCTATGTATTTAAAGAAGGGTGAACTTCACAAAACTAATATGAACCACTAGCAATTTGTCAGGATATCGTAAACTACTTTTATTAGATAAAACCAATGTCTAAAAAACGAAAACATATAACATAATGATCAACCTTGCATTAGCTTACAGTGAATATCATCACATACAGTGTATGTTACTTGTTTTGTTTTTCAATTCAAACAAATACGAAATATTCACAATAATTTTAATAAATAGCGACATGATTCAATTGTCAAAATTCAAAAAAATAATGCAGACTATACTAAGTTACTTGTCGACATCAGTGCTGATACCGCTGTCTTAAGAGTAGAGGAAGAAGAGGCGGTTGCGGAGGGAGAGCTGCACATGGAAGGCAGGAAAGGAATTTGCTGACCCTGCCAACATTGATAATGCTGTTGTAGTCGAGGAGGGAGAAAAAACAGAATTAGAGGTGGAGAGCTCAACAAAGGGGAATAAGAGAAGGGGAGTCGATGTCCTAGTCATCATCAGTGACAATTTCATCTTTGAGAGAGCAGGCAAAGTTGGTAGAAGAGGAGTCTTTTTTTGGAGGGGGTGGGGTGGGGGGATAGCAAGGCGCAAATGGGAGGCGGCCCTGTGTCATTAATCATTATAAAGAGAAAAGAAGTGTCATTGTTGGGGGGAAGAGGAACTAGGGATGAGGGTTAGCCATTAAAAGTTTACTTGTTCATGCGGAGCGTCAGGTTGATAAATCAAACCAATATGCTAGCATGACACACTGCATTAAGTGTCAAACATGCATAATGGAGTACGTTATTTAGAAAGAAAACAATGAGTAATTGTATCTGTGCTAGTTCAAGGTGCAAATAGCAGGGATGGACTATCATGCTACATTGATTGTTGTTATTTGACTTAGTATATGAAACCAAGACTCACCTACCTCCCTACATTCTAGTCTAGCTATTCCCTAACCTAACTCCCTATTACACCAGCCATTAGCAATTTTATATTAAAATTGAAAGGTTATAAATGGAGAAGTGGTGAAGGGTGAGATGCATCGGACAAAGAGATGAGTTAGAAAGAAGAGAGACGGAGAGAGAGAGAGTTAATTTCTTTCTTTATGTGATTTGTTGGTGAGGTTAGGGAGTGTTCTCTTTTGTAATCTTCTCTTTTGTGATTAGTAAATTCCTCTGCTATTCTCGTCCGTGGACGTAGATCGTACTAACCCAACCACGTTAAATCATTGTGTGCTGTTCTCTGTCTCTATTGTGATTACATAATATTGTTGTATTATCCACTTTGTATAGACATCATTTGTGGTTGTGTAGCTCCCGCTGTAACAAAGTGGTATCAGAGCTCCAGTGTTATTCTTGTGGGCTTTAAGATGTCTTCTGCAAAATACAAAGTGGAAAAATTCGACGAGAGAAACAGTTTTAGTTTGTGGATAGTCAAAATGACGGCTCTCCTAGTACAACAAGGATTGTTCAAAGTCCTGACCGGGAAGGACAAGTTGTTGGAATAATGAAAAAGAATAGCTGTAATTAAAGGCGCATAGTGTCATATAGCTTTGTTTGACTGATGAGATCCTACGGGAGGCTACCAATGAAAACACCGTTGCCGTCCTGTGGCTCAAGTTAGAAAGCTTGTACATAATATAATCTCTAACAAACAAGCTCTACTTGGAGCAATGTCTCTTCACCCTTCGCATGAAAGAAGGTCTGTGAATTAAAGACCACTTAGATGAACTTAACACTATTCTTATGGACTTAAAGAATATTGATGTTAAAATTGATGAAGAAGATCAGACCCTTATTTTGTTATGTTCATTACCTCCTTTCTATGAGAATTTTCTTAATAGCATGTTATATGGTAGAGATACACTTTCTCTGAAGGATGTCAAATCAGCCTTACATTTCAAAAGAATTAAGATAAAAAGTGTCTATCGTAGGAGAAGAGAATCAAGTTGAAGACTTGTTTGTCCGTGATCGTCCTGAAAAGGGTGTTCGTAGTAGAAAAAAAATCTAGAAACATGTTTACATCAAAGTCAAGGCCAAGAAAAAATGTTGAATGTTATTACTGTCACAAGTTTGGGCATATAAAACCTAATTGTCCAGCACTCAAAGTAAAAGATAATTCACAGTCTAAGTCTTAGAAGGTGAAACCTTCAATTGCCACTATAACTGAAGAGTCTTCTAGTTCACATGAATTTCTTTCAGTTAGTGTTAATACTCATTCACAAGATGAGTGAGTTCTTGATTCGAGTTGTTCCTACCATATGTGTCCGCATAAAATTTAGTTTGTCACATATCAATCTATTGATGGTGGGAATGTCTCGTTAGGAAATAATGTCTTGCAAGACTATTAATATCGAGTCAATTAAAATTAGAACACATGATGGTGTTGTTAGAACATTGAGTAATGACTGACATATATCAGAGTTAAAGAAGAACCTCATTTCTTTAGGCACTTTTGACTCCAATAGTTTTAAGCTTTCGGCTGAAAGTGGAGTTTTGAGAGTTAGTAAAGGCTCTCGTGTTGTGATGAAAGAAAATAAGGTAAATACCCTCTATATCTTTGAAGGCAGTACAGTGACAGGTGCTGCAATAGTGACATCCTCAAAAGATTCAGATTCTGACACTGCACGTCTGTGACATATGCGGTTAGGGCATATGAGTGAGAAAGGACTAGATGTATTGAGCAAACAAGGTTTACTTTGTCAAGATAGGCTGCACCGAAAGCAAAGGGAGTAGCTAATGTTGACAAAAGGAAAAGGGCAGGCACCGAAAGAAGAAATCAAAGTCAAAAAGAAGGTAAGCAGGCCCATCACAGCCCCCACCACTAATAAATTATTAGTGCATAGTGTTTTCCTAACCACTATAAATAGACCCAGAAATCTTCATGAAAAATCATCCCAGAAACAACTCCTCTTATAGAAGAGTAAGAGAGAAAAAAGAAGGCATAGAGAAAAGGTAATAGTGAGAGAAAATTGTGAACAATTTTCAGAGTAAAATTTAGGATACAAGTTGTGTAAAAACTCTTGTAAAGTTTCTCTTCTTAGTGAAAGATCTGCAGCATCCCGTGGACGTAGGTAATTATGTATCGAACCACGTCAAATTTGTGTGTCCTTTTATTGCACACTTATTTCGCTTTCTCATAAATCTGGTTATAGGAGAATTTGCGTAATTTCCCAACAACTGATATTAGAGCTCAAGTTGTGATTTCTGTCAATTTTCTGTAAGGTCACTATTCATATGAATAGTAAATTTTGTGAATAGTGAAACTTTACTGGCTGTACCGATTTATCGACAGAGGTGTCTTAATACACGGTGGTTTGCAGAAACAGTCAGAAACGATCCAGAGGGTGCCAGATTCGAGTGGGAGCGGCTACAGACGAAGGAAATGTGAAAATTAAGAAGTTTTATGGTGCGAACTTCGATTTTTGGAAGATGCAGATAAAAAATTATCTGTACCAGAAGAAGCTGTATCAACTTCTCTCAGGAAATAAGCTAGATGACATGAAGGATGAAGAGTGGGCTCTTCTCGACAGACAAGCCCTTGGAGTTGTTTGATTGACGTTATCCCGTAACGTTACTTTCAACATAGCAAAGGAAAAGACCACGGCGGGTCTTATGGCGGCTCTCTGTAGCATGTATGAGAAGCTCTCCGCCTCAAACAAAATTCACTTGATGAGGCAACTATTCAATTTGCGGATGACAGAAGGTGCATCGGTAGCTCAACATATCAATAAACTCAATATAATCACAACCCAGTCGAGTTCAGTTGGAATTGAGTTTGATGAAGAAGTACGAGCATTGATACTTCTGTCTTCTCTATCAGAAAGTTGGAATGCTACTGTCACAGTTGTAAGTAGCTCGTCGAGAAGCAATAAGTTAAAATTTGATGATGTTCGTGATCTGGTTCTCAGTGAAGAAATTCGGCAGAGAGAATCGGGTAAAGCTTCAACCTCCTCAGCCTTATACATGGAGTCTAGGGGGAGAACTTCAGAAGGAAGTTCAAATCACGGCAGATCAAAATCTAGTAAGAGCAAATCTAGATCATGAAAGAAAGATTTCAACTACTATAATTGTGACAAGAATGGTCATTTCAAGAGGGAGTGTCAGGCACTGAAGAAAAATACCGACGCATAGGAGTCTACCAACGTGACCGAGGAAAGAGGTGATGCTATGATTCTAAGCGTCAACAGTCTGATTGAATCATGGATTCTTGATTCAGGGGCATCCTTCCATGCCAACTATGCCGAGAAATCATGGAGAACTACATCAGCGATGATTTTAAAAAGGTACATCTAGCAGATGATGAAATCTTAAAAATCATTGGTAAGAGAGACATCCAACTAAAATTGCCAAATCAGACCACATAGAAGCTACAAAGAGTGAGACATATTCTTGACCTTAAAAGAAATTTGATCTCTGTGGGACAACTTGATGGAGAGGGATACTGTAAAACTTTCTCAGATCATGAATGGAAAATTACCAAATGAGCACTCGTCATTGCTCGAGGTAAGAAAAATGGTACTCTCTATGTAACCTCTAACTTAGAGAATATTATTATAGTAACAGATGCAGATGAAAAATCAAACTTATGGCACCAAAAACTTCCATATGAGCGAGAAAGGGATGAAGACACTTCTGTCAAAAGGGAAGCTGTCGTATCTGAAGAATGTAGATGTCAGCCTATGCGAGGATTACATCTTTAGCAAACAGAAAAAAGTCAGTTTTACAAAGATTGGCAAGACACCTAAGGTAGAAAGTTAGAATTGGTTCATACCAACGTATGGGGGTCATCTCCAGTTTCATCTCTTGCAGGTTCACTATACTATGTCATCTTCATTGATAATCTACAAGAAAGTATGGGTCTATTTTCCGAAGAAGAAATCAGAAGTCTTTGATACCTTCAAAAAATGGAAGGCCATTATGGAAAATGAAACTAGTTTGAAGATAAAACGGTTGAGGTCAGACAATGAAGATGAGTATAAAGACTGTAAATTCAAAGAATTTTGCG